TAGGGTGAATGATCTTTTCGTTTCTCACACTAGTTTCTTAGCCCGTGTATGCGCGTGCACATTCGTAATATAAAAGTTTGTTTGTTGTATTNTATTTATGGTTTTTTAGATTNGGTATGTTCATAATCTTTATATGTTTTTTGTCTTAATCAAATATGTAATCAGATTTCAATCTGTAGTTAAATAGTAGAATATAAATTTGGTACTGCAAAATGAACCTGAATTCATATTTGTTTACATTGTATTGTCTCACTACTTTTGAACAAAGTTTTCGTTTTTTTGTTTTTTGTCATATTTTCACGGTGCATTGTTGTAACTTTTTAATGTTCAATAATTTCTGCATTTTATTTACAAATATAGATTATTCCCTGCTGAAAAAAAAAAGAGAAAAAGATTATTTCCTCTCTTTAGAGAAATATAATTTGATCATTTCAATTTACATCTTTTTGTTCATTTGTTGACTGAAATTGAGCAAAAGAGTTAGCATCATCATGCCAAATCCTCCTAGCCACCACATTAGAACCAACTCAATATATAAGTGATTTGAATACTAAAAGTTGCCAATATGGAATGCATTCGCTTATGTCTCTTATTCTCTTCCACATGCCCTCGCTGCTGAATCAATCTTCTCCTTACCTTACAACATTCTTGTTTGCATACTCTTTGAAGTGTATTATTTTAACACGATGTTTGTAAGATCTTTGCTATCATCATAAAGTCATAACATTTTTTATATATTTTTTTCCTAAAACATTATGCATGAACGAAAGAATGAAACTGTATATCCCTCCATAACCACTACACATTATTTCCTTTTCTTATCATTTACCAAATTGATTTGTCCTTCACATGCCAAATCTTTGTTTCTGTCATTGATTTGTAAGAACTGATATTACCGACGTTCTTGTTTACAAATATTAGAATAGAGGTTAAAATTTTGTATCGAAAAATAGAGGATGCTATTTTGATTTTTTTGACCTATTGGATTTGTCCCCCCAAAATTTCGTGATTGATTTGTTGATCACGTAGATTCTTGTCTTATAAAATTTCGACCGGAAATGGAGGAGATGCAAATAAAAAAAAAGGTGCAAAACTTTGAATTTGGATAACCTTATACATTCAACTGAAACTGGTTCGATTAAAATGTCCTTGCTATAGACCTGGTGTAGTGCACCTTAATTGTTATCTCCATGATGTCCACCGCCATCATTCTCTCAATCTCAATGTGGGGTTGAGACTGAATAGATAAAAATAAAATCTTTGAGGATGTGGAAGATACATTGATGATGGTTTTGCTTTGTGGAGAATAAAAAAAATATTAGTGTAATATTTTAAACATGAAAAGAAACATACCAATGGTGAAGGAGAATCGATGTTTGTCGCCGGTGGTAGAATACGAAATTGAGTTTAGTACAGAAAATAGTGGTTTGATTTCAAGATCTACGGAATGGAAGGGAGGTCACTTAAGAGATTGGGGAGACTCGAAACCTGCATGGGAGCAGTTTTTTAAATAATAAAAAATAATTTGAGTGGTTGAAAAAATTCTGGAGATAATTAAGCACAGAACCATTTCTTATATAGCCTTAGAAAATTTTGTCAGGAAATAGAAGAGATGTAGGTAAAGTGCGAAGCTTTGTATTTAGATAACCGTATACATTGAACCATTTCCACTAAAAATGCTTCGAGTTTGTATACATTGAACCAAGACGTTTCATGACCAAAACGTTTACATTATTTTATTGTAACTTTTCATTTATTTGGTCTATTGCAAATTATCCAATGTATCTACCAAATAGTTTAAGAGTAACCAAACGATTGCAACTTTTCATTTTTTTCCCATAACAAAAAAGGGACACGTGTCAATCAAAGAAAGCACTAAACTCATCTTTTATAATATAACGGAGATGAATCTGCATCTCTTTCAGCAACAGATGCGATGATTTGTAGGTGGCGATTCAGAGAGGAATAGGGTTTCTCGACTGATACATTCTTTTTATTTCAACATATACATTTTTTTTTTGTTTAAGATTTGTTAGCAAAGTTTTGAGGCTATTATTCGAAGCCCAACTAAAACAGCCCATAAGAATAATAAAGATGTTTTTTTGGCCAAAACGTGTGATTTTAAGCCTTTCTTTTACTCATGTTGATGACATGTGTCATCACCGCAGAAAACCAAACCCATCTTTTATAATATATATAATATAATTATTCTTAGGGCTTCACCGGCTCTTAGCAATGGAAGACATTGGAAACGCACATGGGGTTTGTTGCGGCTATAGTCTCAAGAATCATCCTCGCCGTCTTCTCTTGACTCACCACCGCATCTTTCTTCTCCACAAGCACTGCTTCGACGATCTTCTCAAACCCTTTGCCTCCACTTGCCACAAAATCAACCAAAGCCGCTTGTAATGGCCCTAAACTTGGGTTAAACGCAACCGATTCCATGTACCAACCTCTGTACACTTTCCCATCGCAATCCCTTAGAGCCACTCCCGACGGACACTTACTATACGGTGCAAACGATTTGTTCGCCGCCGCTAAAGCCCTGCACTTAAGATGAGTACAACTGTCGTCGCACTCGCAGATATCTCCGGTGAGAGTGAGGCCGTTATTGCGCGTTTGGAGAAGGAGAGGGACCGGGAAGTCTTCAGGGAGGATGAGAGTTTCGGAGCGAGGAAAGAGGCTCTTAAGTTCCACGTATTCGTTTTCGTTCTTTTCCGGATTCTTGGTTAGGATCTTGATGATAGGAGACTCGCGGAGTTCTTGAAGAAACTGGCGGCAGTGGCCACACGGTGCATCGAAGGTGGAGTCGTTAGAAGAGACGACCAAGTCACGGAGGAATCGCTGAGAGTTGAGAGCGAGGTTGGTGACGAGGAACTGCACCGCGTGAATGGAGTGATGAAGAGGAAGACCTGGAAGTTCGACATTGATGCCTAAGAAGATCATATCGTCCGATGATCCGAGTCCAACTGCTCCGACATTGATTCCGGAGATTGGAGCCAACTCGAGTTCAACCATCCTGTCGAGCCACAAAAAATGCTTCATTGGGTCGGAGAAGATGTCGGTGGCTTTTAGATTTAGTTCTTTGCGAGTGAGAACGAAGCGGGAGGGTTGTCCCATTGTTTCTCTGCCCGATTTTTGATTGTGTTTTGTTGGTTTTTTTGTGTTGAGAGATGGGAAATGAGAGTATGAGAAGTAACGAAGCAAAGGCTTTAACTTATTTATAGGTGCGGTGTGTGGTGTGGATGTGTGTGAATATTGAGTTTATTACTTTTTAGAATGGTGTTTACGTCATTCACATACGCAAGCAACACTACAAATGAAATAAAAAGGTGATTGTGACTCTTAATTAATTAGGATCCAATGTGAAGAAGACTCACTCAAACTCATGAACCATCTTTTCAAAATGTAAAAAAGCAAAGTAGTTAGAATTGGTTTGTATTTTATTTGAAACTAGATATAAGGTAATGAAGAGTGGTAAAATGTGGCTTAATAGTCTTCAACTCTTAATTAGTAATATAGTGATATGGATGTAAATGATAAGAAATTTACTCACAAAATGATACTTCAACTGTCGGTAGATTGTTACATTCACATGTACATATTGATGATAATACGTAGATAAGTTACAAACAATGTAAAACTAAAAATAAGAAAATAACCAGATTGTGATGTGAGCATATTGGATTTTTTTTTTTTTTAAATGGACTGATTACTTCGTGTGCAAACATTCACATGCACAAACAATATTACAAACTCTAAACGAGTTTGTTACTATATACACTATCAAAATTCATGATGACTCATGAAACCAATTTTCAAATTACATTTGCTTCAAAGTACCTTTTTTTTTTTT